AGAAGGGGCTGTTCTGTCGCTTGATTTTCGAAAAAGCATTTGACTCTGTCAGCAGAGATTTTATGTTTAGTGTCTTAAAAAAGTTTAATTTTGGTGAGGGTTTTTGCAACTGGATCAGAACAATTTACAATAAAACAGAGTGTGTAATTGTTAATAACGGATGGATTTCTGAAGGCTTTGAAATGAATAGTGGAATAAGGCAAGGTTGCCCCTTGTCTGCTTTGCTTTTTATTTTAGTTGTAGAATGTATGGCCTGTAAAATAAGAGATGATTTAGAGTATAAAGGAATACCTCTTCCGTGCGGAACAAATATTGAAGAAGCTCGTATAGCACAACTCGTAGATGATACAGTTCTGTTTGCTGGAAATAGTAATAGTATTGAAAGGGGTCTATGCATTGTTGAAAACTTTGGTAAAGTTTCAGGCATGAGACTAAATAAAAGTAAATCAAATGCAATTTGGATTGGAAAATGGAGAAAAAGATCCGTCAAGCCACGAGGTCTAAATTGGACCAAAGAACCTATCAAAATATTAGGTATACATGTCAGATATGACGAAACAAAATGTAAAGAATTAAATTGGACCGATAAATTACTTAGTCTGGAAAGATTGCTTAACTCCTGGAAAGGCAGAAATCTTACGTTTTTTGGAAAGGTTACCATTTTAAAGAGCTTAGCATTTTCTAAATTTACTTATAATGCTTCTATAATCAATGTACCAAATGATGTTATTTTACGGGTTAATAAGTTGGCGTATAATTTTCTCTGGAACGGTAAGAAAGAAAAAATAAAAAGAAAAACTTTAATTGGTAAAAACATTAAAGGAGGCATAAATATGCCAGACATTTCGTTGCAAATTAAAGCGTTGCAGATTACGTGGGCAAAAAAAATTATGTGTAGAAAGCATGTAAGGTGGAAAATACTGCCCTTACATTATATACGCAAACTGGATAATGAGGAACTAATATTCAATATGTCAAACATCACCTTAAGAAATGCAACATTTTCTTATAAAATGCCACCATTTTATTTCAACGTTATTAAGTGTTGTACTGAACTAAATGCATATAATTGTTTTACATTAGATAATTACAGAGAAATCCTTCAACAGAATCTTTGGGGAAACAAATTGATTTGTCACAATAACAAATCACTATGATCCAAGGCATGGATAGATTCGAATTTTAAACGAATCAAGAATATTGTTATAAAAAATCGAATAATGACGTCCAATGAAATTTTAAATAAGTTGGTTGATAAAAGAAACTGGCTTAGTGAATACGCCTCGTTGATACAAGCTATTCCAAAAGAGTGGTTGTACGTCATAAGACATTATAATGGTATTAGCAATGACGATTCCGTGATGACTGATGAATATCATAGTATAGGTAAAATGAAAACAAAAGACATTTATTCATGTTTTGTCGATAAAATGTTTATCCCACCCTATGTTGAAAATAAGTGGGATCTATTTATTGGAGAGAAAATAAACTGGTTTAAAGTCTGGAGGAGAAAAATAAAGGAGGAAAAAAATAGAAAGTATGCACAACTAAATTATAAATTGTTAAACAAATCTCTCCAACAAATAGGCAATTGTATAAATGGAAGTTAAAACACTGACACATGTGATACGTGTGGAGCAGTCGAGGATGAAAAGCACATGTTTTTTGAATGTCTAAAAAATAGGATATTATGGGAAAATATAGAAAATCTATTTAAGAAACTTGATAACAGTCAATCTTCTTTTAAAGAATTATTAATAGGCTGTGATAGCAGAATTAAAAATGAGATATATTCCACTGCATTATTTGCTATATACAAAATTAAAATTCTTACAGAGCTAGGTAAGCCAGTTTGTAAAAATGCATGGATTATATTTAAGAATTTTGTAAAAGAAAATAATTATGAATGGAACGTTATACTTGAATGAGTTTTATTTTGTTATCTATAGTATTATTATCATTGTACTAATTTTGAATAATTGGGATTAAATTGAAAAATATTTGTAAATATATTAAATTAATTAAGAGTTTTATATTTTAATATCAAAAATATTTTTAAAAATATGAAAAGAAACAATGGAATAACGTTTGTAACCATACAAGAAAAAAAAGGCCTACTTATTTGTAAAATAGGCCTATTTAGCGGCATTCACATCGGAACCAAACCGTAATGGAAGCGTTTCCGATGTGCTGAAGGAATTCGGCCATAATTTTATACATCCGTTTTGATTTCGATAGGCTTTCTGGTCCGAAGGATCGGATTAGGCGTGAAGGAACTTTTAGGCTGGCGTATGCCTGAATATTAGCACGATCATCGGGCTCGTCTCTTATACACATCTAGATGTGTATAAGAGACAGTATATATATAGGCCTATATTTATGGGTATGTGTGAATTTTTTTTATCATAATAAAATTTTACCGTATTTTTAAGGCGTTGTAGTAGAGTGCTGGATGTAGATGGTAGTTGTAGATGGTTCTGGTGGTAGAACAAGTCTTCTCGGATAAGGACTATAAACCGTATGCCCAGTGTATACAATGGCTCGGGTGCACTATAAAGAACCCAGTACATCCTTCGAGACGAGTAGGGGGAACAGACAGCCCCTGTGGTGGACGACGAGAGTTGCTGGTACCGGGTTACCGGGAAGCACAGGCACGAAGGGACCCTTAGGGGCAAAGAAAGTCATTGGTCGAGTTCCTAGTCCACATATCAATTATTATTATTACTATGTAGTAGTAGGAGGGTCCCCAGGGGCGGATCCAGAGATGTCCAAAAGGGGGGACGAAATTTGGGCCGATCGAGACAACAATGTCCAAGGGGGTCCGGGCATGCCCCCGCGAAATATTTGTGTTCTAGACGCCAGAAAATAACATTTGAGGCGTTGTGGGCGATCATTTTTTTTCTTTTTCTTTCTTTTTTTCTTTTTTTTTTGACCTCCCAAAAAAGGGGGGGGGGGCGTGCCTCCCCCCTAAATCCGCCCCTGGTCCCGGGGCCCCATAGTTTTAATATCAGGGCTATAGATTCTATTGATAAAAAAAACTTAACTAACAACGTTTTAAGAAAGACTTCTCATTTTGAAGGGGACTGAAGAGTGACTAGAAATAATTGATCAAGTAGGCATATAGGCATATTGAATGATGTTACGTATAACGAACAGATAATACCGGTACTAAAACTTTCTATTGGTTCACTAATTTAACTCCTGTTATAGTCACATATATAGTAAGAAATATATACCTTCTAAAGTTTTCGTTATTTCGTTCGAGAATTGAATCCAACGAGAAAATTTCTCTTTCGCGAACAAAACAACCAAGCGAACAACAACGCACTTTTGTATCATCTTGGATTATGTGACTGAAACCCGGTCCCGCACCGGGGCCTCGTCTCAGGACCCCGACGGGGCCTTGGCGTGGCGGCCCCATTCCCCCACCCCCAGCCCAGCTGGTGTAGTCACGCACTTCAAATCTCTTCGGTTGGGTAGATATGCAGTGGGTAATTAATTTTTACGTCATGTATTAATAATAATTTCTGATAGTTAAAATGAAGACTAAATAAATGCAAAGTTACTGATTCAATCAGACAGATTGAGAAGAAGACTCAATTTATCATATGCAACAATTTAAGAATTTATTTAATCAAAGAATTGTCAATCATTTGATTAATTAACACAATTTGATTAATTAACCCAATGGCATAGATATAATTAACTCAATGACCTAGTTGGTTTAGGCGTCTACATAGACTGCAGAAGGTCCCGTGTTCGAATCCTGGTTGGTGCACCTATTTTTTTCATACTCTCACTAAGGACTTACATACCTCTTCTTTAACGGTTTAAAATGCATTTATATATTTACAGCATTACCGCAAGATGATATAGAGTTTATCTCTATCATATCATATACATATATATATATATGTATATATTATATATATGTATATATGTATATATATATACCGGTAAATGATAGGAACCGCCTGTGAAGGGTGCATTGCTATGTAAATAATTAAAATACTACTATACAAAATACACAAGTACTATAAATACACTCATCATACATGTGGTTCTATACAATTTACTGAAATATATTTATACAGTACGGTATTTTATTTAAATCTAATGCACAAGTGCTATCTTAATTTTTTAAAATGTTCAGTTAAATCGTTGGTCTAAATAATCTCTAATCAAAGGCCGGTACTAAATGTGGTCTTCTCTAAAGATATGATGCATTATGTTTGAATGTTTATTCAAAGTGTTTTAGAGTTGATTACTGTATGCTTTTACTGATAAAATATTTCATTGTAGCCAAGCATCAAGTCCTGGCTTCTTTCCCCAATATGTCCCCACAATGAACGTCAACGTCCTACAAACACTATCGATATTCAATATGGAGCAATATATAAACACAGCATTGTCTTTTGATGTATATTATTTCAATGCCTGTACAAAACTGAACAATCAATTATATAAATTAGAAGTACCGTAGTCTTTAATTGAAGGGAAGGGCAAATTGTCAGTTTGTTCTACCAAAATCATGATATTAGGTGCCTAATAGAATTTCTACGATTAAAGACAGACACAAAATGTTGTTTTTGTAGATTTCTCTACTTATTAAACAAACCTCAGTAGTAAGATATAGGCCTAATACATTAAATGTTTTAGAATGGATGTATAGTTACAGTACTTCATATTGTTAACTATTCTTAATAAAACAATTTTCGGTAGCTCAAGTTTTATACTCAACTTTCCATTAAATATTACTAACATCACCACTAAAGTTATTCAATCACCACTAAAGTTATTCAATGCACACAAAACAAATAGAGTGAATCATTTATAAGGTACAGGTAAAATGAATTCAATCGAAGCCGCAGAAAAGTGGTCATTTAAATGGAGGAGGTATTTAATTGGATGTAACGTATTGTACTTACTATTCAAGGTAAATAGTAAAGAAACAAATTTTCTTTATTCAAAAAGGCCTAAATTCAAAATTATTGTTTGACGCTCTAAATAATGAATCCAATATTATGTCATTTATTGTAGGTATTTGTTCCTCGAGGTCTCTTGTTATTCTTCGTATCTCCTCTGCGGCTGCGTCAGGCGACCCGGCTAGAATTTCACTGAAGCGTTGATAAATTTTTGCAATATCTGCAACCATAACTAATACACGAATCGCAACTTCAGCCTTTCCAGGTGGCGTTGTCTCTCCAGATTGTTTTGTCTCTCCTGTTGTTAAAATAATAAACACAGATTCTGGTAACTTTCTATAATTTATTTTAAATATTCTTATTAACACTACCTAAGATTCCTTATGTATCATGTATTTCTGTATCTGTCTGCTTGTCTCTATGACTGTCTTGCTTTTTTTTTCTTTGATCAGGATTATGAAAAAAAAACTATTAAATGGATCATCACATTTCGTCAAACCTCATCGTGTTGCAGTATTTAGTCAGTAGGTACATAAAAAAAATCATCGCCTTAGCAAGTGAAATTAAAGAAAAGCCTTACCAATAAAATAAGAAATTAGTTTTCCATGGTTGATACACGTTGTTACGGCGGTTTTCACTGTAAATACAAAAATGGAAACAAACTTACACATTATTTAAAGTCAGGCTCCGGAGGAAAAAAACATTTTGATATGTTGTAGAACTGATTTTTCTAAGACAGAAAAATGTTGTTTGACGAAAAACTGATCAACGGTGAATGAGATACAGATTTTTGAATATTTAAAAACTGGGGAAAAGGGTGTAAAAGTGGGCGGTTAAGCCCCTTTTTCCCCCAGTTTTTAAATATTCAAAAATCTGTAGTTCGTTCACCGTTCCCCAGTTTTTCGTCAAACAACTTTTTTCTGTCTTAGAAAAATCAGTTCTACAACATATCAAAAAACATTTTTCCTCCGGAGTCTGACTTTAACATGATTTATAATAGATGAAGGGTATTTCTTTAAATTTATAATACACATCTTATGTTTGTATTCATATGTGCATTTTTGTTTGTTAAAAAATATAAGATTACCTCTATTGTTGTTATTGTTCAAGTTTGCTATTCTCGTCATAACGATGCTCCCAACCGCTATAAAAATAGGTTAAACACAATAGATGGTATTTTATTTCAAACAGCACAAAACGGTACGGTCATATTTATAAAGGTTACATACAACATACATCACTAAACACACTAGATTTTTCTTAGAAGGAAAACTTCTTTAACAAATATTGATGGTAATATAATATAATCAGTAGTGCACACCAATGTCTATGAAGTTGTGGGGTGGGGGTGGTGATCAACCGAAACGCATGGCGTCTTTTAATTCTTATATTTACTTGAAACGATAATAACACGTCTTAACATCAATTTTGGGTGGCGTTTCAGGGAAAAGCATATCTTACTTTTTCATTTTCAAGATGACAATATTCTAAGTTTACATATTAACGGAAGATCACATTGATTGTTTGAAAGATAGTAGGCAGGGTTTTAGTGCTGTAAATATGCAATACGTTCTTAATTTAGATTGTTTTTGTATATTTACAAACCACGGTTTATCATAGTTCGAGCATATTTACAATGACTGTGCTATGGAATTTGCACTTTGTATAACCATTGGAAACTGCCAAAAGTGGCTTAAATTTGTTAACTTAAGTAAAGTAGGCCTATTTATATAAGCGTAGACATACCATTGGATTGCATATAAACATCTATTATCACATGAAGTCTATTTTTTTATTATTGAGACCAGCGGCGAGCCGACATGCATTTTGTAATTTCATTTTTGTTTTAAATGTCAGTTTCACATTGTCTTTGATAGACCTACTAGTTTTACTAACAGGTCTATAATTATAACCTTATTTTTTCAACATCAACTATGATAGGTCTTGTTTTTAAAAATATGAGGGAATGCAGTAGTTGGGGTAGGGGAGAAAAATAACCTGCACCCCAGGTTCTCCTACCCTACCACTAGAAATCTTCCGAGTCACATTTTTTATTTATTTATTTATTTTATTGTAAACATTCTTACCTATGAATACCTCTGTGTAGTTACCATTTATCCTATATCGCACCACCACATTATCCATGCTTCTTGCCAATTCCATGTATCTTACCAGACTCAAGTAGTATCTCTTTTGCTGCTGACGCAGTATAGTAAACGTATGTTCATTGTCTTCCTGGATTACTCTATCAGCTTCTTGAGCCCCTCTGCTTGATCTGGTGTCGGCTATGAAATCAGCAGTGAGGTCCGTAGCTGTTTCTGTTGCACGCAACATCAATCGAATAGTATTCCCGTTGATAGGAAGTTTGATTCCATAAAAACTAGTCAACAGAGTAGTAAACTCTGCAAGGAAAGCCAAACACGTTACAGCTGTTTTTGCATAATTGCAATAGCGTCTTCTTTTGGATATTTTGTCAGCAATGTCGTTGAGTTGCCGGATTGTTCTCGTTCGTGCTTCAGTCCATTCGCTTAGCCGTCTCTCTAATTCCAGCCTATTCACTTCTAACTGACGGCTGGCAACTTCAGTGGGAATTCGTTGTACCTTAAGCCAAAATAGGAGCGTCAAGAAACCTACAACACTGCCAATTCTACGGAAAACCACAACAACAACAATAATAATTTATATTGAAGATGATGATGACAGGGGTGATTCAGTTGATGATGTGACGAACATGGCGAAGATAAAGATAATGGGATAACAATATATTACTACTATAGCTGCTGCTACTGCTACTACTACTACTGCTACTGCTACTACTACTACTACTATTACTACTACTACTACTACTACTACTACTACTACTACTACTACTACTACTACTACTACTACTACTACTACTACTACTACTACTACTACTACTGATTAATAATAATAATAATAATAATAATAATAATAATAATAATAATAATAATAATAAATTATCATTTGATATTCAAATAATAATGACGATAATAATGATGGTGATGGTGTGGTAAATAAGAATAATGATAGTACATTATAAGTAAAAGTAATAATAATATATTACATTAACAGAAACAGCAATAGAATATCAACAACAGCAGAATCAGTAAATATAATGACCTAATGTACTTACACCCAGCCTGGAACACCGACCACATTCGCAAAATTGATTACGATAAGAGTGACATATATCCAGCAACCAATTTTAAAATACTCAAACGTTTCTTCTTCTCCTGGTCTTTCAACGTTCATGTTATTTTTCTATAACAATTTTCTGTTGTGTGATATAATAGAACAATGATTTTAATCAAACAACAGTTGACATCTTGTTGCATATGCTGTCAAATATGGGCTTACAATTATGCTTATATTATTACATTATGTGAAACCTCAGTACAATTTTCAGTATAAGACCTTGTTGTTTCGATATGTTGTCTTAAAATTGATTGACAACACATTTTAATTTAGCTTACTAATGACTTACATTGGTGGTGGAAACAACATATAAAATGAATAAATGTTCATACCCTTTGCTTTGAATTATGGTTGACACCGATATGCAGTATTTTTAGAATTAGGTTGATGTTTTGCCAGAAGAATAAAAAAGTTCATTTTACAAGTATCAACAATAAATAAAATTGCGGTCATTCAATGTTGATACATGTATAAGAGCATTTTTTATTCTTCTGTTACTGAAAGCGCACTTTTGTTTAGAAGTTATGTATGGTAATTTAAGAAAAATCGATTATAACAGAATACAACGTATCATGAATCAGGCTGGGAAAATTCTACAACAAAACTAGATGATTTGTGAGATTAAAATTACTGATAAAGTAAAGAGTATCTTAACCGATAGTTCCCACCCACTAAACGCATCTTTTACTTGGCTATCCTCGGATAAAAGGAAAATTACAAACCTGTTGAACAAATACAGTAAATATCTCAACTCATTCGTACCACTATCCATTAGAATTTCTAATCAAAATATCAAATAGGCTTAAGGGCCTAATTGTAATTAAATTTGTGTTGTTTTTTGTGCACTTTTTTTTTACCACAATCTCGAATGTTAAATAAACAAATAGTTAATTTAAATATAACAATATACAATAACTAGAGGGCACTCTGAGAATGCATATCTCGGCCAACATTATAATTCTCCTCTTTAAAAATTTCCCACGCTATTTTACATTAATTTTAGTCCTGTCTCTTATACACATCTAGATGTGTATAAGAGACAGATGCAGTGCAGTGCTGATGCCTAAATGGCTTGATCGGTAAGATGGTAGGCTATGTATTGTAAGGACAATGAAATAAAAGATAATGAAAAAAAATGATATTACGGGATTCGAACCCGGGGTCGGTAGTGTGGAAAATGCTCTTCTAACCACTACACCCAAACTGTTTTCATATGTATCCTGTAAAATTAATGCCAGTATGTTTTGTTGCACTTCTTTTGCAAACCTCGTAAAGCACATAAACAATCGTCCATAGGCCTACAGATAAAAGAGTAGTTCATTCATTGTGCCCTTAACCTTTGACCTTTCAAATCTAGTCACTTCCAGAACTTTGGTCATGGAATATTGTGGCCGAGTTTGACAAGTTTCTAGTGATATCTGTGCAAATCAGGTTGGAATTTAGTAGATTTTTTGTCGATTTGTGACCTTGACCTTTGACCCTGACCCTTCAAAATGTAATCATTTTTTAGATTGTTGGTCATGGAACATTGTGACAAAAAAAAGAATTTCTAATAAAAATTGTCAGCGATAGGCTGTTATATATAAAAAGCTGGTTTTTCGCCGATTGTTGTAAAGAGCTTGTGTTGTAGACAACAGACATAACCACACAACTATACGTTTTGTATGAGAGAGCGAGCCTTTATTCACATACGCTATATACCACAACACAGGTGTCATGCAAATCAGTATAGCGCCATCATATTGCAATTGTGACCTTGACCTTGACGTTTAAAAATGTAATCACCTCCAGATTTTGTCATGGATAATTGTGACCGAGTTTCTGATAAAAAATTTTGGCTGCAGCCTGTTATATAAAAAGTAGTTTTCGTCGATTGTTACATTGACCTTTGACCATATTAAACCCTTCAAAATTTAATCACCTCGGGATCTTTGGTCATGGATAATTAGGTAGGTTTCGTAACATTACGAAAACGATAATGGATACGTCATCATCATTATCATCATTTGTGCCTTAAACAGTCTTGAAAATATATATACAAGCTGAATATGATCGTTGATTTATGTAAAAGGTATGGATGGCTTACGTTGTAACAGATATGCTACTGTAAGGGTTGTCTTAATATTCTTTTATTGTTTTCGTGAAAACTCCCTCATATGACCAATTTTTGAGTTAAGTAGTGTCTGATAAAAACTGTAGGCTGTTCGCGATTTTTTTTTCCGTACGAAACATTTGCATGAAACTTCACTCGGGCCATCTCGGATTGACTCGACTAAGTTCGATACGAGGAACAAGAGCAGACACTTCGCAATGTCGTGACGCTCG